ACACCTCAGCAAATTTTGAAGTAGGGGTATTTGTACGCATATAAATTTTATTGAAATTAAATTCATAAATTAATTTGAACTATATTTTAAATTCAAGATATATTAGTTCAAACAAATTTGTTAGGCTAATATAATTGGATTAGTTATATAAGTCCAATATATATGGATTAAATAAATAAGTTTTAAGCCATTGGGCTAGCCCATTTAATTGGGCTAAAGTGATGAGCCCACTTCATTAAGCCCAAGATATCATCTTTCTAGAGGCCCAGTTTGGTGCCACGTGTCAAATGACGTGGCGCGTCAAGTCAAGCGGAAGAGCCAATAGTACCATGCCACGTGTCAAAATAACAAGGCATGCCAAGTCACACGAAAAGGCTAATGAAATCGCGCCACATGTGCAAGTGACATGTTCTGGCCAATCAAATGTGGTCATGTCACACTTCAATTTGGTTGGTTAGAAAGAGTTTGTTCTTATCACAACTCCTCCCTTACACAACTATAAATAGTGGTTTTCATAAGGGGCATTTGCATCTATACCCGTTTTTTGTGTCACGTTTTAACTTGTGCGCGCTTTGCAAAAAAAATTGCAAGCATACCCGCTTTTTCGCATAACTTCAGCATACGGGGCTGAAGTAGCAAAGGCAATCACGCAAAACTTCAGCATTCTAGTAGCCGGGCCTGAAGTTCAGCTCTAGAGCTGAAGTTCGCCAGTTCCAAAAACAAAAACTTCAGCTCTAGAGCTGAGGTTGGCCAGTTACAAAAACAAAAACTTCAGCTCTAGAGCTGAAGTTTTTGTTTTGTAACTGGCGAACTTCTGCTCTAGAGCTGAAGCACCACAATTAGCAGTGATTTTTTAAGAAAAATAGTATACATCTTCTCAGCTCAAACACGAATAAACATACAAAAACTCCAAAATTTTACAGCTCATCCTACTAGTAACTTAAACTTTTTTCTAAGACTAATTTGCTGTAAATTTGGAGCAAAAGTACCAACTGTCGAACTGTTCAATTAAAAAAAATTACCTTATAACTAAAGTATCGTTGCTTCTGGAGATAAATACCAGTTTGTTTTAGGGGTGTGCATTCGAATCGGTTTATCGATAAATCGAATCTATTATTTGTTATCGGTTTATCGATAAATCGAATCTATTATTTGTTATCGGTTTATCGATTTCGATTTATCGATTTATCGATTTCGATTTCAAAATTTTCCTTATCGATTTCGATTTTGTCCTCTTCGATTATCGGTTTATCGATAAACCGATAAGCTACAGTAAATTTTTTTTAATTTTTTTTTAATTTTTTTTACTCTTATTCTATAATACCCTTTCCTTTACCCTAAGTCCCTAATCTTATTATTTCCTCTACCACATTTAAGGAATGATCATATTTAAAGCTCAAGGGAATGAAGTTCAAATTAATGGAAAACAGAATTAGCTGTGATGATGTATTTTGATTTTTTGTTTGTTTATACCGTTGGAGTGTTAGTGGCATACATTTGATCCCTTACTTTAGTTTCGTTGCATGTGCTTGTTGACACAATTTTTATGTTATAAACGGTGCTCTTCTTATTTTAGCTTCCTTTTGTCCATATTAGTTAGGTCTGTTTGTAGCGATATACTTTCCGTGGAATCCCGTAAATTTTTTTATTGGTATAATTGATAACCGAATCGATAAGCCCCAAAAATCGATAAATCGAAATCGAAAAAATCGAAACCTTATTGAAACGATAACGATAAGCATATGTACAAATCGATAATCGATAAGTAATTATCGATAAGGGTCAAAATCGAATCGATAAATCGAATGCACACCCCTAAGTTTGTTTTGTAACTTGAAGAAGAAAACGAAGGAGGAGAAAGGGGGCTGAAGTTATATAAAAAGTTGATACAAGTTAAAAGTTTTTTAAAAAAGGGTATAGGTTAAATGGGGGCCACCAAATAGGGCGCCCCGTGCAATTTTTACTCTTCGTAACTCAGAAAAGACACCAGAAGTTATAACAAGAAGCAAGAGAGGGCTCGTAGATCAAACGCTGCAGATTTCTCTAAAAGCTACAAGCATTCAAGTGTTCTAAGTATTAAAAGATCAAGACGAAGATTCAAGAACAAGCTGCAAACCCTTGGATTAAAAATACGTCAAGATCAAGATCAGGCCTCAAGCACTTGGATTAAAATAAAATAAAATTCAAAATCAAGCTCAAAAGCTCTTTTATTTATTGTGGAAAAATAGAATCAGAGGATTCATAGAGATTGTAACACTCAAATATTCGAAATAAAATACTACGATTGTTGCAATATTTTTCGGTCTTGATTTTATTTTCTCGACGCAAATTTATTGTCTACAGTACTTTTAAGCAGTAATTAGTGTTTGGTCAAGTTTTAAAAATTGCTTCTCAAAAGTGCTTTTGGAGAGAAACTATTTTTTTCAGATTCTCCAAAACTGATTTTGATTCTCTTCAAAAGCACTTTTTTCTTCCAAAAGCTTGGCCAAACACCTCAATTTTTTTAAAAAGTATTTTTAACCCAAAAAAAACTTGGTTAAACAAGCTGTAACTATCATCTTGTTTTCCTTTTATTTTTTATTCGGATAAATTGAATTTGTGCCGCGTAAAATTTATTAAAGAAGGAAGTGTCATTTTCATTTAAAAAGACTAGAACCCTCCCACCACTATCTTTGATGTTGTATTAGTCATATCTCTGCTATTATTATACTATTCCATCAATTTATGTTCTGTAAAGTCGACATGAAAGGAGAAAGATTGCAATCTCAAATTTTCACACGCAAAATTTAGCACGCGTATTTACACCAAACTTGAATCAGCATTTACATCTTCCCAGCATACAACTGCTTTCCTAAAGATCAGTCAAAACCACAAATTGGATCTCAAGATTGCTCTGTAAAACCCCCCAAAATCCTTCCCAAAAAAATTGAATACTCCATTTTCCTCTCTCATGGCGATTCTCATCTTCTTCTGTATCATCAGTTTTATAGCTCCATTTGCTTCTTCCCTTGAACACCATTCCCACTTAACCAAAAATGGTCTTCGCCAGAATAACACTTCTTCACAGCAATACTTAGAAATCAGTTGTCCATTGCCATTCGGTAATCTCACTCCTTCATGCACTTTTCATATCCTCACCCACAACTTCAGCAATACGATAGGTCTTCCACCGGTCTCTGTATTATACTCTCCTCCGGCCAATTGCTCTTGGACCCACGTGGCTCTTCAGTTCAGTGCTTCTTCCAAAGGTTTCCAATACGACCGTATCGCCGCCGTTTGGCTTGACGGCGCCGAGCTCCTCCGTACTAGCACCCCCGAGCCTACTGATAACGGCGTCTTCTGGTCCGTTACAAAAGACGTTACCAGGTACTCCTCCATCCTGGTCAACGCGAATAAATCTCTTTCTGTCATGTTAGAAAATCTGGTCAACGACATTTATACAGGCGTTTATCATGTTAATGTTAGTTTCCTGTACTATGATGTTAAGCCCGTGGATAATCCAATAGAAATGGGAGCGAACAATTTGAAAAGTTCCTATGAAAAACCGGCAGATTTGATAATACCAATAAAATCGGGAAATGGGAGTGAAGGATTTTGGTTCCGAATTCTAAACGAATCGGAGTTGCATGGACAGAAAGTTATTATTCCGAATAATACATATAAAGCTGTGATTGAAATTTACGTATCGTCTCACGGGTATGATGAATTTTGGTACTCAAATCCTCCTGATTCGTACATACAAAATAATAGTTTGACTACCCGAAGAGGCCACGGATCGTACAGGGAAGTTTTGTTGAATATAGATGAGAATTTGGCAGGATCTGTGGTTCCATTCCCAGTCATTTTCACAGGTGGAATTAATCCTCTGTATTGGGAACCACTTGTTTCAATTGGGGCATTTGATCTTCCTTCTTATGACATTGACTTAACATCATTTTTGGGGCTTTTACTTGATGGTCAAGATCACTTTTTTGGGCTAGGGGTTGCGGATAGTATCCCATTCTGGCTTGTGGACGCGAACTTGCACCTTTGGTTGGATTGCAATGAAGTGCTGGCTAAAGCTTTTGATTTGGGCACTCCTAAGTTCAAGATTGAGCGGTCTTCAAGTTTCATAGGGTTGGATGGGTCATTTGAGGTTGAGTTGAAGAGGAAGAGCGAGATTTCTTCTTGGGTGAATTCATCAGCAGGCAATTTGACTACTATAGTTTCGCGAGAATTGAAGTTCAAGAACAAGATAAACTTTTATCTGAACGGAACTGAGAAGCACATTAAGCAAAAAGTGGAAGAAGAGATTGAAGTTAGAGTACTGTCTATTAGTGGAAGCACGATCTCTAAGACCAAAGTAAAGAGGAAATATCCGCTTACCATAACCAGTAAGACTTTGCCATCAACGGAAAATGGTACAAGCTTGATGCTTTCTGATTTGGACCACGAATGGAAGGAGAAGAAGAAGTTGGATGGAGGTTCTTCAAGCACTTTGACAAATCGGCAGCAATGCAATGGGTGGATGGTTGTTCAAGATCACAATGTTTTATATGGTGGAGCAACCACTCAACAGAGTTATTCTTATGAGGGTGAAGCTGGTTGCTATTCTCGAAGCCTTACAGCTGCCAATGGCAAGCTTATGAATGACACTGCAAACAGTCTTTGTGCAGCTCCTTTGGTGTTTGATTCGTTTTCTGCTTTGTGACACCCTGTTTGAAGAATCCTCTCTTGCTCTACGAGCATCCCGTGTGTAGCACTAGAGTAGATTTTGGTTCCAACTTTCCTGTCTAATTAGTTTGCCTGTACGATTTATGTTTTTGTGTGAAAGGTGCAGGCTTCAATAAGGATGTGTGAAGCATTAGGAAATGAATTTTGTTTGATGGTTTGCTTGATATAGTGATTTTTCTTGCTTTCACGTGTGATATGAACCTTTGAGTCTGCTGAGTGTTTCTTGTCTTCTGGATATGCAGGAGGAGTAATTGAAGATAATCTCCTCTTGCAACTCTGTTCATATTTTGCTCCCAAAAGAAACAACAATAACAACAATGATAATAAAACAAATATTAAGTACTCCATGGAATTATCTTGATATCTAAGTGGAGGCTTTGCAAGCATGAGCATAACTGAGAAAAGGAAGCAGTGGATCCATAACATAGTTAAACCTGGCATTTATATCTTTTTAATCTTGTACATGGGCTAGGCTGCAGCCTGAAGTGCCATCAAGTGTTCATTTTACCCACTGTAGATAACTGTGCGAAAAAGCGAACATCTTTCCATCTTCAGAGACAAAATTACTTTCCTTTGGGAAGTATGTATTTGTATAAATTTGAATACTTCAGAGGAAATGAATGAATCAACATTTAGTAGTAAATTTGCTATAATTTCTTTTCTCCCTTTCTCTCTACAGATAAACTGGAGATATAACTGTAAAATATACAAAACCGCTTAGGAATTTCATATTTTTGCAGCGTCTTTGGGGCGCCAAAAATCTTTCTTACCAACAAGAAACTGCTCTTGATGCAGAGTTACTGACCAATGAAGTGAACGCAGAATTGAGCCAAGTTGTTTAATCATCTGCAAAGTGTCTTGAACTAAAATATATCCACCTGGTCTGAGCATTCTGTCCATCTCCACAGCTACATCCACTAGGTCACATCTGCAAAAAAAGACAAAAAACTAAAAGTTCATCCCAAAAGAAAAAGTTTGCTTACACCTGTTATGTAACCGACTGTTCTTGCTAAAGCAAATCATGCAAAAATTAGTTCAAAGTAGTAACCAGGAAGTAGTGACTGAACCTTTGACTTAAATTTCCAAAGAGGGAGCTGGAATGCAGAAGATCATAAGTCCGCGGATAGGTATTGAAGGACTCGCACCAGTCATGGTATGTGCCAATCAATCCCCTATCAAAAATAATGGGTAAAGTATCCGGTCCAATGATAGGAACAACGTTCATTACCCACAGGGGTCGATCAATCAGGGCTGTAGCAAATCTGTATTAACAATAGGAGTATCAGTAAGACAATGAGGAAGCAGCACAAGTT